CCCTTATGGGTGTTGATTTTTATTCAGACGTCATTTGGGGCCGTTAGTTTTCGGCCCCTTGTGGATATGTTCACTTTGGGGCCGTTAGTTTACGGCACCATTAGGGTTCGGAAGTAAATTGTATTTATATTTTAATAACATGAGTAATTCTTTTTTTCCGATTGACTTAATAACAACAAAATTTTTGCATCTATATATCAAGTTATAAACGAATTTTTTCATAATCTCAGCTACGAAGTATCRGTTTACAACTCGAGGAAAATGMACTATTTGGCACGATACACCAACCTTTATGACCTAAACCAATGTCATAATATATGCTCTTACACAGATGAATTTTTTGGAATAACAAAAGACCTCGAATATCAAAGAATTACTATGAAAGGTACAGTAACCTCCCGAGCAGTTCACTGTTCTATGATACGATTGTTTAAAGCCGAGTTCGTAATGTGATATTTCGTATAGAGATCGGAGGGCGACCGGGAGACCCGAAGGCAAACTTCTGACTTGGAATATTTACTTCTGACGAGTAAATATATATTAAATCCAGATTAAATCACTGTCTTTCAACAGCTAGTCCGACTTCACGCTCCAAGAGCGTCTAGTTTGAGATAAGAATTGAAGCTATTTTGATACTTTGAATGAATATCAAGATCACATTCTATCGCCGTGATGAATACTCCAATTTCGAGTTCTGGTTTGCTCTGTGTTAGCCTCAAAACCAAGTAACATATTCTTTTGTTTTATTGATAGCCTGTGAAAACGCATGGAATTTGAAAAGGAATACAATAAAATTGATATGAAATCTCACACTTTTATTCTCACAATTACGAATATTTTGCGCACAAATGAGGCTAACACAGAGCATTGGAGAATTCGAAACTGGATTATTACGAAACAGAAAGTTCATTCTCGATATGTGATTGGCTAATGCTGAATATGAGGAATCTGATTCGCTGAMCTGTAAGATGATTGACAGAGGAGACAAAAAATTATGGGTTTGCAAACTGATTGGCGTTTCGGCCGAAATAATCTCAGATAAATAAAAAGCACTTGGGGAGTAACCTAGTCTCTTCTAASAGCCGCGACTTCCGGTTTCGTCAAATTTTCTGAGGGATTTTTGGAGAATTTTTTAAACATGGCAATATGCTTTTGTTTCAGTCATTAGATATTTTATACATTATCATTGGAACTGATTTAATTTAACAATATTTGTTGTGCAATCTCTTAGGGGTTAAAAATCAGTCAGAGGTCCGGGGGTTCTAGACCACAGTGAAATATATTTATTTTCTAGTCTTTCTTGTAAGGAAAGAAAGCCCGTCCAGACGATACGCGAGTGAGTCCAGATCGCGTCTAAATTCATTGAGAAAAACGATATCTCACGCGTCGCGAATATCTCTCCCATTGCTGACGCAATCACCGCGTAGCCTACGTTACAATCGGTTTTATTTGCCAAAAGAACCTTGGTTATTTTGGCGAAATAAACCTGATGTAACGCAGGCTATCACCGCGTAGTGAGGTGGAAAAAAAATGACTGACCGGTCAGCCTGTGTCCGAAGTTCGACTTCTGACGTCATCATTACCATAGGAAGACCAACAGCTCTGTTGTTTCATATTTAGTGTCGTAATTTGGGTTGGAAGACGCTGTTTTTCAGGTTTTTTAACTCGAAGAGGTTTATTTCATGATGGATCCTTTGGGAGCTGCTTCAAGGATTGTAAATATCACATTCTTGCCTAAATGGTCTTCAACACCAATACCAGAGTATCCATATTCCGCTCCAGAAAACTGCTCTCTTCCCTCTCCATTTCCTGTCAGACTAGACATCAACGAAAAAGTGATTTTGTGGTAAGTCAGCTTTGAAGCTTTTCTCGGAGCGATCCAATTGCTGAAAGTAATGTTTATCAAAGTATTTTTAAGATTGTATTATTATTTCGTGAAGATTTATTGTTAGGTTTAGCCGTTGTTTTAATAGCCAGATCACGTGAGGATTCCTATTTGAAGTAGGAGTAAAGGTGTAACTTACATGTATTCCCAACTTATTCCACTTTTCCAAGTTCCTTCTGCCAATACATGTAGTTTTATTTAGCTTTCATATGATTTATGTAAATTAAGATTATTGCAATTTGGCACGCATCTACTGTACATCCATATTATGAATTTTGACTAGATTGCAGAATACCCCGCCACTCGTACCGTATTTACTCTAATAGACGCCTCCCCTGAATAGACGCCTCCCTCAAATAGACGCCGCACTTAAAGCTCAAAATATTATTAGACGCCGCCCCCGAATAGACGCCGCATCTGGGTGCGAAAATAATGATACCAGCATTTTTTTTATTTCGAAGTGACTACTTTTTGAGGCCCCAGCAGCACACCCCTACCCAAGTTTGGAGGGAGTCCCAGGCCTAAAGCAGCATATATGCTAAGATTTTGTTTTAAATTCAAGGAATGGTGACATCACAAGGTTACAAGCTACAGCTATTGTTAACACCACCAATGAAAGTCTAAGTGACAGGGGAAGCCTTAGTGAGAGAATTCATCRGGCTGCTGGACCTGAATTGCTTGTAGAGTGCAAAAAACAACTGGTTGGATGTAGAACTGGCGAGGCAAAGATGTCAGATGGTTATAATCTCCCCTCAAGGTATTGGACGGTGATGTACAATGTTATAGGATAGCACAAGTACATGTAAAGTCATTTTTACTGATTTTGTATCAACCTGAAGATGACAAGTGATAAGGTTGTTTCAAAGGGAATTTCTTTTTGTTCCCATTAAACTGGTCACTCTTACYCAGTATCAGTGGCACAAAGTATAAAATATACATCACTTATGTTGATGTCTCCATCAGTTGTACATTTTATAGCAAGTGCAATCATGAAAAGAAAAAGTTATATGATGATTTTATGCAAATTTCAAAAGTGTACCTGTAGATCTTATTGATAAGTCATTATGTTGTACAACTAAATATTATATACAAGTTATGTATAAAAAACTGTGAGATTCAGCTCATTTTGTACTTTTTTCAGGTATATCATTCACACAGTTGGTCCTCGTTATAACACTAAATACAAAACTGCTGCAGAAAGTGCCTTGTTTTCCTGTTATCGAAATGTCATGAGAATTGTGAGGTATTTAGTTTTATTTACAGAAATTGTATAATTTGATGAAACAAGTGCCAACTCAGTAAAATTCCAAGAATTGATATTGTGTGCCATAGGCCATTTCAGATTTAACATTGGAACTTTACTGCCTCTAAAAAGAACACAATGAGCAAACGCAGGAAACCATGAATTAAAATCAAACTAAACACTAACAAATAGCGGCTATTTGCAGACAAATTGTCAGTATTAATGAACTGGAATGCAATAAAGATGATCTAGAAATGGTCTCATCTTCGTTTTTTAATTAAATACTTGATCTCAAATGGCCAGTTATCCATCAAGTGGACTATAATTGACTTTGATTTTTTTTTTCAAGAGAAAACAAGATTGATACAGTAGGATTGTGTGTTGTCAATACACCAAAAAGAGGATACCCACCAGAGGATGGAGCCCACATCGCTCTGAGTAAGAGTCAATTATGCTAAATAATTACCATCCCTTATGAGCTTAAATTGTTTAAATGTCTTGAAAATTGACACACATCATCATGATAAAATTAACAAAGACTTGTTTTACATGCTTGTAACATAAACAGGAAGTGAATTGAAAACAATAAAAAACAAAGGAATTGAAAAAAGCTATAAGGGCCATGCAGGAGCTAAGATGGCAAATATCTAGTAATGTTTCCATTCACTTGAATTCAAGRAAACTTGCTTGCCTGCAGGAAAAGGGTTTAAAGTACCGGGAATGCTCATCATGCTTTTCAAAAAGACCACTAAAAGATCCYGACCACAACTTGCTCACAAAGATTTTTTCATKCAATAGCCTAACTTATTTACATCAAAACTTTAATACAACTTTTAATACCAGTTTACATTAAGAAAATTAGCAAGAACATGGTTGTAAGTTGAATACATTTTTCTTTTTTAGGAACTGTCCGCAGGTTTTTAGAGAAATATACAGAAACAGTGGATTGCATAGCTTTTGTTGCAGAAGGAGCAGATGAGGTACACTGTAAAATCATGACAGTCAATYATATAGTACATGACTGTACAATGTATGACAGGGTCGTTATTGAAGCAATAGCAGATTGTGAATCAAAGAGAAAAATACAGAGATAGCTTTTGACTCTTGAGAATTAGTACCACATAGGGTAGGCAGTAAGTACTAAAAATGTAATTTACTAGGACTCTTACAAGAATAAGCAAATAGAAAGATTATGACAAGAATTATGTGTCAACTAATCAGCATCCTGTGGCTGAAAACTTTCTCATTGTCAAGTTAATGATTATGTTAACCTGTTGATATAGTGACATTTAAAGTTGAGACTCTATCAACATGCAGAAGTATATCCAGGAACTCGAAGAAAACCTTTGTTCTGGTAAATTGATATCAAACGGGCAAATKACAAGAGTGAACAACAAGAGCTTTGTTTCCTCAGTCAAAACATTTTTGTTTGAATAACCAACCCAAGAATATATTGTCCATGAGTGAAKTAGGTAGACACAGTTTGGTATCATCTAAAGTACCACATGCCATGATTCTACTTCACAGTCAACTATTAAATAGGTAATCAAATTTATATGGTCTGATATGGACTAGTTCAGCCCTATGGTGCACTTTGGAAGACAAATTCATGAAAGGCCGGGATGGAGTGTAACTCTCAAACCACAGTACAGTGTCAGCTGATTGTTAGGTGTTATCAAAACCACAATTTATAAATGAGGATCAATGAGAGAATAGAATCTCAGATCTGTCAAGACCTAGCAGCACTTAGCAACATGGATAGGCAGGTTATTCACTATTTAATGATTTGATTTTTGGATGTGGGACAACAAGGCTGGGATTAAATACAGAAGAACTAGCTGTCTCTTGCAGAGGGACAGACAGATTGCCATTAGTATTTTTGCAAGCCATCTCTTGAACAACTTTTCTTGATAAAGTGTTGTTGGTTAATGACCTATTAATGTTTTCCTGTTGTGCTGATGTTTAAAGGTTCTCTGTCAAATTCGGATGAAAACTTGAGAGTACTGCAGTAAAACAGTTAGAATCAAGATAATTAAGGCTTCTTGTGGTTGGTTGTTAATGAAAGTTTTGTGGTGTAATCCATTAACAATAACATAAAGAGAGATGCCACTAACGCTGTGTCCTAAAGCATTGACATCCCTAATTTGCATTATATGAAGAGCCATCAGATTGAAAGTGACAATAGAATTTTTGTAGTGTCCAATCCATCATTTGGACCATTGATTAACTACCAGAGTACTATATAGAAAGGCATATTGTTGATCAGCCAAATACATGCATTCATTGGTACCCTCTGCCAGAAAATTATTACGAAAAGCAAAGAAGATTCCTATAATAGCAGTGTTAAAGAGTCAGCATTAAAGAGAGTGCTATGTCCTTTTTACAAGTCAAATTTCTCCTAAAACAGTTTACTGGTGATTGTTCAAGACACTGTAAAATAATTCACATATGGCCTTTCCTTCTGTACATTGTGTCCTCTATCAAATTAASTTTGAACGTGCTTAAAAGGATGATTATACTCAAGAGTAGATAACATTGTGTCATTGTGATTTGAAAGCCATTGAAATATTAATAAGCACATTAACATAAAACTTTAAAGTGTTATCTTGATGCCCTGTCTTAAAATTCCTTCAATAATAAAATTAATATAACAATATTGTTCATGTACATACAAAATACTGAATTTCCTGCTTCCATTCTTTTTCAGGCTATCTATAGAAAAATTATGCCAATATATTTTCCAAGAAGTCAGACTGAAGAAGATTTTGTGCTCAGTATATTGCCTAAGGATATTGGTTAGTAATCCTAGAGATAAGTGTGCRTATCACTAAAGACATCTAGAATTGATAGAATACAGTGAAAATCAATTCCTAGTTAAGATTTAATTTGGAAATGTTGACCAACCGGCCTCCATTGAGATCTGGTTTAAATCCATTCTGTACTTGATCTCTTATAACAAGCCTCAAATCGGTGAATATTCAAATTTCTAGAGCTATTGTAATATCAACGCCATGCTTTCTTTTGTTCTCTTCGCAAGTGATCATGAGTCTGTTGTCTACTAAAACAGCGGTCGCTCGCACTGAACTGGAAAAAGGCTTATTCAATGCAAAGAATATTCATTACAAAATTMAGTTGAAAATTGAGATCAAAATAAAATTAAAATGATTTTTTAATTTAAGCTTACTGACTTTGGCTGTCGTCGCTCAAGTATTTGACAAAAATTCTTCTTCTTTTAAAATGAGCAGGAAAGTTGTTTTTATTTGACGCACGTGTACATCCAGGACATTTTGGTACAAAACACTAGTGAAAATATATGGAAAATATGAGTGTTTTAGTTTCCAGTAAAACGCTATTAACCATAAAATATTTTTATCATCGCCATATGATTGATTGATAGACTCTGCGTATAATCTTTTCACATCATTTGTTTTGATTGTTATCAATGCAGCAAAGATTTAGCATTCAGGTTGCATTCACATTATCCTCAGTAGATGAAAGGAACAAGTATATTTTAAAGTTAAAGAATTAAAAAAGAAAAAWAATAATTGTTTAGAAGCTGCTCGAGTCGAGAATCGAATCCACGGTAAGGTTGTCAGTTCAACACCGCTACAAGTATAATCTTGCATGTAAAATAATAGAAAACAAATATCTACAAGAAAAAATAAGTATAAACATGACTAGGAAAACATGACTAAGAATTGCTTAGAACAGATCAAGTCGAGAATCAAACCCACGCTCCTAAGTTCCAGATGCTATTCGAGTATGATAATTCTCGAAAATAATTTTTAAATGAATATCAACATGACTATAACAACTTTACTTCAGTTAAAAACTAAGAAAGAAAAAAAAAGTGCTGCAATCCAGATTTAAACACACAATCCTCTATTCAATGTCACTGTTCAAGTACCATGATCTTGTTTCTAAAATTTAACAAGCACACCTCATAAATATTTAATAAAAACAGATTGCTAAGATAAAAATCTAACATGACTAGAACAACTGTATTTCAGCTAAAAAAAAGAAAGAAAGAAAGACAAAAGAAATMATTTTTCAGGCGTGCTTGAGTTGAGGATCGAACTCTGGATTATGGGTCCCTTGGGATTGCTAAACTGCGATGTGRAATTTTCCACGTTTCCAAATTCTGAATCCCTCTCTGTACATTTTTGGGACCTGGATAGCACGGTTATAGTTATGTTTATCAATATCCTAATTTGAATTGAAAATTCATAAAACCAGTAGTTTCTTGTACCACATTGTCACATTATTAATGCCAGTACAGTTATGTGATATTCAATTACTTAATATTCTGTTTGGGATTTTGATATTTGCTCTGTTTTCATTTCCAAGGGAATGAAGAAGGAGAGCCAATAATCCCTGAGAGACAAATTAGGATAAGCAATAATCCTATCTGTGCAGACCAAGAAGGTGATATTGAAAAAGGACAGGATGTCTTAGACATAACAGAGATGAATATTGGACAGCATGCWTTTGCTACTATGCAAGGCGATCATGACCAAATGTCAAGACAAAGGGCTCAGAAAACTACTGATGAGATGCATGCTGTGGAAAGACAAAGAATGTTAGTTCAGCATCAATTTATTTGTTAATGCATTTTAGCTTACTAATTAACTGCAATGGCAAACTACAGTATGAACATATCTCCGTCTATAAGTACTCAACATAACTTAAAAACAGATATTACTAACAGTGGACTTATTACAGGGCAGGTGTTACTCTATGAAATCCTTGAATATCCCTGAAATCCTGTCTTAAGTGTCCATACTTGAAAGGCCTGACAAATATTAGGGAAAATTCCAAACCTCCTGGAATATTAGATATAAGATTATACTAAATAATTATCATTTCTAATTCATGTTAAAATTAATATTAACCAAAAGTTTGAAGAAGACACCAGTCTAATAATTTGTTGAAAAACGGAAATGAAAAAATACTCAGACAATTGGAAATAAGTTGGGAAAAATAAACATCCAGGCAACCTCAACACCCTTTGGACTTGCACTTTCTACTAGGAATTTTGAGCACTGCATTGAAGTGAATTAAATTATGCATATTCTCTATGGCCAGTGTTGTTTATCCAATGTTATTTTGGTAGATTGCACAGCTTTTTAGTTTGATTAAATAAATGTGGGAAAACTTTGAACACTTTTTTTTTCGTTTTAAACATTTAATAGATATCAAAGATGGTTACGGAGGGCTCATACAGAGGACTTCACATCCCTCAAACAACAAAAAGTTATCTACCCATCAGGTATAACAARTTATTTACATGTAGTACAAAAATATTATACTGTTTTAGAATTCATTTATTGAGAAATGATTTGAATGCTATGTTTATAAAATGTGCCATTTTATGCACCAAAGGAGGATGGTAGTTGTAGTCCTCACACTTTTTTAAGCTCTCTAAACAGTCCTTCTTGCCAGTTATTGCTTTTTCTAAGCAAAAATATAATTATTTATGCCGTTTTTCAAAGAAAATGTAAAAGCACCTTTTACGTTTTTTTTCTAAGGGCTATGAAAAGTGTGAAGGCTACAACTACCATCATGCTTTGCTTCACAAAATGGTGTCGCTGCACATTGCCTATGTTAAAACACCTTGGAATAAGAACTACAAATAATTGGTATTCAACTGAGAAAAATAGCAAGTCATCATGAGCAATGAAGGTTACTTCTGAGTGGTTTGAATTAATTGGAAGGAAGCATAATTTTATAGCAATACATGTACTGTATGTAATAYATWCAATATGAGCGGGCGATCTGTATGAGGATTTAAAACAGCGAGCTGAAAGCGAGCTGTTTTAAACCTCATACAGATCGCACGCGAATATTGTATATTACTTATGAAACGTTAAGGTAAATTAGCTCAGGTTTTAAAGAAACTTTTGAAAAAAAATTCAATCTGACTGAGAAAATCAGAGTAAAAGTTTATGCAAATGAACAAGAAATCTGTATGTAATATACAACTCTCTTCATGGGCTATGATTTCTATTGTGTTTTGCCTTATGAATATTAATGAGTTTTATAAGTTTATACCTATAATGTAACATTTAAGATACAACTGTAGCTCCATATAGTATTTTACTAAAGMAAAGAGGAAAAAAGAAAAATCGATTGTAAGTATTAAATTTAGTCTGGAATGAAGTTTCTCATCCATCTTCCATTCAAAAAATCACTACATCCCCAGGCGCATACGCAGATGCTGATTTTGAAGAATTTTTCATTTTGGTGACGTCATTGTATTTTTTTTTGTGTGTGTGTGTGCATTATTTGGATTTTAAATAACTCAAAAATTATGCGGTCTAATTTCTGGAATTTTTATATATATTTTTGGTCTCCTTATGAGAAATTGTCATGCAAAAAATAGAGCCGCTCTCAATGACAGATTTCTTTTAATCTAAAAGCGAAGAAAATTCCGTAAAAAGTTACATTGTTACATTTAGAGTTAAAGCAAATTCTTTCATTTAGCAAATTTATAAAAAAAATCACCGCGAAAAACGCATTTCAAAAATACGATAATTTGAGAATGATGTAGTGTTGCTATGGTAACCAAATATGCAGAATTTTTTAGACTAATTGATGCTTTGATATATACACTTTAATATTTTTACACCAAAAGATGCAGCTCTATTTTCCTATAAATAAACAAATGATGCATATCCCATGTACCTTTTAACTATATGGAGCTATATATACTATATATCACCTTAAATGTGATACAAACCATCCATTAATTTTCCCTTTTTTTGTAGGAGTTGATTTTCTTGGACGTCATGTGGTTGTATTTGTTGCTAGACATTTTATTGTCCGTGAAGCCGAATTAAACAAGGTAAAATATTCAATAATTACGAGCAAAAGATGCCGTGATTAGTTGAATCTCTCATTGGTATTATGATGGTAACACCAGTCTGATAAATACCTAGCGTCCATGAGAAATTTGAAAACTTATKAATTATTCATTATAGCATATTTGAACCACATTCCACCTTGAAATCTCTGGAAAAATTTGATTTCAAAGTTATTCAAACACTGCCCCTATTTAATGCAATCAATACGTTGCTAAGCAACTATTCATCAAGCTAAGTTCTCCATAAGTAATCTGGTGTCATTGCATGTAGGATGAAAAGTTGTTYTCCTACATTTATTTGCACAGGAGAACATGTTCATGATCCCTCCTGATATGTAATGACGTTTTGGCGTTATTTAAAGGTATTGCATTACACTATTTGATACAATTTTTAATTTTGATTTATTTTCAGTCTGTGGCATACTTTATCAGTATCCTAGACAGAATAGTAAACAGAGATTATGTTGTGGTATATTTTCACACTCATAGCGCAGAAGAAAACCAGCCACCATTATCATTCCTGAAGGAACTGTATCATATTGTTGACCAAAAGTTAGTACATTGTTTACCGTTGATATGTGCAATTTCATGTCATCTTCTTGTGGTGGTATATTACAAATCATTATCATGGTTCATTATTCTATTTAGTAAAGGTTTGAGAAATAGTCATTTAATCAAGGGCACGCACAGGGGTTTCAGGAGAAGGTGTTTCAGTTTTGTTTTGTGCATTCAAGACTGTGAAGAAGTCAGTTGACTGCAAAATTGTACAAACGATTATGACCTAGGTAAAATTCAGTTTTTAGTTACTCAGAAGGAGATGTGCAATGCAAATGTGCTCACAAAAACAAAAGTAACATATGGAAAGCAGGTCGTAGGAGTGAGTGCACACCCCTGTACCCTCCAGAGTTGTGCTAATTGCCACTGGTATCAAGTTGCGCATGTGGATAATAGGTTGCGGATGAGGGAAAATGAAAAACAAGAAAAAAGAAGAAATGTAGTCTGTGGTGGGTGGGGCCGAATGTACAAAAGCTGAAAAAAAGGGAAAAAACGAAATGCTAAAAGAATATAAAATAAATTATGAACTACTTAAAAGTAAATATCATTTTACAGACCTTCTATTGTCACATGTTCATGTCGTTCCCTAGCATGTTTAAAAACTCAAAAATCAATTATTATAAGTAATAGCATGGCTCTGAGGGAGATTAGGGATTAAATGTCCCCGAATCCGAGGGCAGATAAGTTGAAGTCCCGACGGCCGGAGGGACTTTTACTTATCTGCCAGAGGCTGAGGGACATTTAATCCCTAATCTCCCGAGGAAGCCATGCTATTACTTTGTAATACCATGATTTCCGAGGAAAAAATTGAAGTTGAACTTGAGCGAATTTGAATTCTTGTTTTTTTCCATGCTCCAATGTTTTCAATCAGAAGAGTAATATAAACATTGCAACAAACAATTCATGCATGAATAAGGTTTTCGCAGAACAACAGTGCAAAATGATATTGGTAATCCGACCATTGTCACTGATTTCCCACAAAGAACTTTTAAACAATTACTTTTCAGTTCTATTCAATGCTGAAATTAACGAGCCTTAACTTCAACCCCGGAAAGTAGTTTTTATATTTGCAAGTATAATGCCAAGAAGCTTATCAACTATTGTGCACATGCTCAGCGGTACGGAGTAGAGACTCGGAACGAGAGCTACTCGGTCAATTTGGCCCAAAAATCATCCCACATTTCAGTGTGTCTGAGACGATAACGARACCGTTCATTGCAGAGGTAAAAAGAAGACAGCTGTAGGGACATTCAGTTGTCCCTACTAGGAAGCAAAGGTTTCCTTTGCCTTCCGTTCCTMATGAATAACATGAGGGACGATTAGTCTAATCTTCCCTCATGTTATTATGCATGAGGGACGATTACTAGWAATCGTCCCWCATGCTATTCATGAGAGAGACAAAAGAATCCGAGGTGATCATGGTGTTATCTAGGAATCGAAATACATGTATGCTTTTTAGACTACTGGTTTTCTACAGTATATTACTATACATTTCCTAATATAGAGTGATTTTCATCGGACTGTGAAATAGTTCCTACGCTAATAGACGCTAGTAGACTCTACASCCATTGCTTTCTTTTATTGTAATGCAACTATTTGACACTATTAAACACTGACTAGTGGTAATTGTTTCACAGACGGATGAAAATGACTCTAAACTTGATCTTATAATATTATAGAAGAAAGTTATTAACACGATCTTTCTGTAGACCAACAAATGTATAAATTCAATGATAATTGCGAAATCATGTAATACCATTTCCAGTTGAAAAGTCATTTGCATGAGACTGTTAACAAGTCATCTTATACTTTCTACTGGCAGCTTTCAATAAAGCATTGATTATAGTTATGTATGGTTAGAGTTCAAAGTAAGAACGGTTTCATCCGACCCGCATGTTTTATTTCATTGTAGATATCGGAGAAATCTAAAGGCTTTCTATATTGTACATCCAACATTATGGGCCAGAATTGTGACATGGTTCTTCACTACATTCACTGCCTCAAGTATTAAAGACAAAGTCCACTTCATCTCTGGGATTCAGTACCTTTATGACTGGATTAATCCAGATCAACTGGATATTCCTGCCTTTGTCCTTGAACATGATATGAAGGTATGTTGAAATGCTCAGCTCTGTACAAGTGGATATTGTTGCAATGCATTGTCCTTTCCTTCCATTGCTTTCTGTTGTTTGTTTAGCACTTTTTTTATTATTTACATCAAAAGTAACTAATATTATAAAAGTTATTAATAATGCATGAGCTATTACTCCAATAAGGGCTGTCCATTTAATCAGGTGATTGACCTTGTAAATCTGATACAACACTAGTGTTGTATCAGATTTACAAGGTCAATCACCTGATTAAATGGACAGCCCTTATTGGAGTAATAGCTCATGCATTATTAATAACCCTTTCCTTCCATTGCTTTCTGTTGTTTGTTTAGCACTTTTTTTATTATTTACATCAAAAGTAACTAATATTATAAAAGTTATTAATAATGCATGAGCTATTACTCCAATAAGGGCTGTCCATTTAATCAGGTGATTGACCTTGTAAATCTGATACAACACTAGTGTTGTATAAGATTTACAACACAGTCGTCACCTTGAKACAACCCAACACTAGCAAAGGTCTCAGTTTTAGTATCGCATCATAGACCTTCACCGGGTTTAGAAGCAATCAAAGACAGATAACAGAACTCGSTTATRCAACAGATGGCTTGCTTTCCATGTGGGATGGATAATTATTCAAAATGTTCTGTGTTGCAGTAAATTRCGCATGCTTCATAGTGACTAAACTCAGCAGTTAAATTATTTGTCATTTTTCGTCATTTATCTCACTGTAATTCATGATTAGTATTGGAGTTTTACAAGTCGTTTAAAACATTCGCGTAATTCGWAATTCCCATACAACACGGCCGCTCATGTTGTAAACTATACAGTTTTGYAATTTTAATATCATTATATCGGGTGCTTACCCTTATCTATAGGGTTACCCTATGCTTATAAACAAAAAGACAAATGGCAAACGTTTATAAACAATTGCCCTATCGCATAATTACGTCTACATTCTATTRTTTAAATTCATAATCGCATTTATCAAGAGATTTAGTATTTCCTTTTAATTTATCGATGTGCTGACAATTACTTAGCCAATGAACATGAACAAGGTACTAGGGATATCGAAATGTTAATTTGCCCACGTTSAAGTTTCTTCTTCGATTAAAAGTTAATAAGGTTAATTTACGCCGCAATTAATTAACGCCAACTTTCGAAATATGGCCGACTGGCCGAGCGCAAAAGCCTTGAAGACGAGGCTTAAACAGGGACCGCGGAGCTGGAATCTGGTTGGGGGTGCTAGCGGCTGCAGAAGGCAGGAGGTACTGGGGGGTTCGCGGTATTCTCCCGGGAAAATTTTGAAATCTTAACACTCGRAGATGTCATTTCCAGCGTTTTGAGGCGTTATCCAAGGCATATTTCTAACCGATAAAACCGCACACAGGGTAACACGATATTCAATTTAA